GGCTGAGGAAGCTTCGTTGAGAAAAGGTAAATACCAGTTAAATTGATGGCGAGTCTGGAGTAAAATGCAGGCTACATCTAGGAAATCAAGCGATTGCAAAAAGAGATATAAGAACAAGACCCGAGGCTCTTACACTAATGCAAGACGATTAAATAGAAATCAACTAGAATATTTTAGTTTTGAAAATGTATGCGCATACGTGGAGCAGACCTTATAAAATACAAGGTAATTAAAAAGTAGGGCTAAGGGCGGCAAAGTTCATGAGCCTTCCAAATAAGAGAGAATCCATGAATAACGGCATCAGGCGTGAAGCTCAGCACAGTTTGACTGCAAACCTTCATGTAAGTATTCAAGTAAATTCCTCACAGGAACCTCATTGGCTATGCAAGGCGATCGCGCAAAAATTCAACGATGGTATCGAAGTCCCAACCTTCCATAGAGAAGGTCTCTTTTACGACTTTTGAGTTGTCAAGGAGACTAATAGTTGGCTTTGAGCCTGGCTTGTAGTTGACGTCTAGGTTAGGAAAGCGATCCCTGGCACTACCCGTCAAGAAATCTGTAAATAGATGAAAGGATACGATAACAATACAACTTGAAGAATTTGAATGCGCTACAGGATGCAACACAAAACTGGATTAAGTTAATTTACCAGCCAGGTGGGGGTAGCCGCGGAGTGATCACCTGCAGACAGTTACTTCAGCATAAGGGAATTTCTGCAAAATAAACTAGGCTACTGCTCTTACTAAGAGTGAAGCGTCTGAAGAGTCATCTTTACAGCAGGAAAAACAGGATTCTTGAAGAACTGCGAGTCTGTATTTTTTCAACTCGATGCAAGTGGAGCAGGAAAGTTGATTCGAATATCCAGATGCTCTACATGCTTCGTGATCTAAAGCCGAGGAAGATACCTGTAAATAAAATAGTAAAAAAACCCACAAATATGGAAAGAAGATAAATCGCGAACCGGGCAGTTAGCATCAGGAACAGATTTCAAACTGCCTGCTACACGTAGCAGAGTACGCGTTGTATGTTTACCCACCTATAAAAAGAATGTTGAAACGTATTTATAAGGTATGTGTGTTAAAGCTTAGTGATTAAAAAACTCATTTAATTAACCATTTAGTAAATTTACATTATTTTGTTATAGAAATTACTGATGGTTGGGCTTCACTAGTATGACTTATTCTAATTTACATTAAAGTAATTGATAACTAAAGGATATTTATGCTTTGACATAGGAAACGTCATAGAATTCCGAGATCTAATTTTTTAAATCTATATATATGATCAACTAGATAGCCAAAGAAAAGGTAGTAACGATTTCGACAATGAATAAGTCGTGCATACTTATTTACAAGTACCCAGATTTAAAGTACAGTTTGCAACTTTAATTAAATGCAGCATTGTAGAATTGGATTATTAAGTCCAAAAAAGCAACACTTAAACATTTTAGCTTTGAAACTTAAGCCAAGAATGAAATTATGTAACAGCTGGCAAATCTCTAAAGTTTATGAATACTTATTGAATTTCAACGTCAAGTAGATTTCCTTAAAGAAATTGAGCTAAGTTCCCCAGTGTGTAAGCATTATAGCTTTTATTTAGTTCGGGCTGGACTCAATGTTTACAACAACTCTTATTTTTGATTAGATCGTGGAATATTCCTCATCTTCGCCCTAGACTACTTCATGGATAAAATAACGATATTCATAAGATATTAGAATAAATATATATCATTATTTCGAACCAGCAAATTAACTGATAGGTTGAATATTTAATTTAATTTTTAGACCAAAATTTATGAGATAGCAAACTTTTTTAGTTAAATGATAATGCCACATATTCATTTATATGGAATTCTAGCATTTCACTATCGGGGCGTAAATCAAGCTTCAAATGTTTCAACAATTGTCGAGTAATCCAATTTTTAAATAATTTTATATTCCAGGATGTGGTTACTTGCAGAAAGATGAAATCTCTGGAAAAGAGAAGATGTTTACTTGTCTATTCATTTGATAGATTTCGCATAATTTGTTGCCTTTCATCACTACATCTTTGAGCCTATCCTCAAGCAGCCTTAAATAGTATGAATTTGCTGAATGAAATTAGTTCGGATGTAAGTGAAACATTTCTGCTTAATACGATGGTTATCTGACTATAAAAACGGTATCAAAAGCGTTTGTTGGTCCATAAA